GACTTTCTCATACCAAAGGAATCCTGGGTAGTGGCTGAATCCTTAAGGGGAATGACCAGAGAATGGGCTATGGTGACTGGGGAAGAATAAATGTTTCAGAAGTTTCAGTTGTGTGAAGTGAATGTTGGTGTCACCATGTTTCTACATAATTGAGTCTGTTAACAATTGAGAGTAGCCATGTGCCAATAAAAATTTATTCACACCAATAAAAGGCAATCTGAATTTGGCCCATAAGCCAAACAAACCTTGCTCAACACTGCTACTCTAAGATCTGTAAGCAGGGATTCTAAGGAACCAAGGACCATTTAAAATCCACTGCTAAATTCTGTCAAACATCAACGTTCTATTCATAGCATACCAAGGTCCTCTGATTCTTCCAATACGGGAATGGCAGGAAAGGTTTTCACTTTCCTATTCTCTGATAATTGTATACATGAATATAACACAGGTTGGTCATTTTCATTCACACGCCATTTCTCTCTCATTCCCCGCCCACTCCCTTCTTAGGTGAGTTTATTTCAGACTACTAATAGGATCCCTATAAGCTAGACACAGATCTAAACACACAGGATCAAGCAATGGTTCATTCTTTCAGGGCAGATGTCTGCGACTGCACACAGATGACCCGTACAGCCCAGCTAAGCCATTCAGCATCTCAATGTCTGACCTGAGACAGGGTCTCATGTAGCTCAGGCTGGCCTCCAAAATTCCCTATGTAGCCAAAATTGACCTTGAACTCCTGAACCTCCTGCCTCCACCCACCAGAGCTGCCTACCTGTCGGTGTCACCAATGGTAGCAAACTCAAGGAGAAGCAGGGACCAGAAGGTCACTCTAGCCTCCCAGGACCAGCACTAGATCCCACTCCGGGTAATACCCCCGTCACTTAGCTGCCAGTGTGCAAAATCCCAAGCCAGGGAATCAGTGGGGCTGCTAAACTCGAGACTCAAAAGCAAACAAACTCACTCCAAGAAGTAGATTCTAAAGTAATCTACTCTAGAACACCTTTGCCATCATATCAGGAGACAGTTTTGATTGCCACAACTAGGGAGGGGCTACTGGTATCTTCCGCTAAAAGCTTACATGTGTGCTAGGGATCTTTAGCTGTCAACTTGACACACGTAACCACCTCTGTCTCTCTGCTCTGTCTCTCTCATGCTCTCAGCATGTCTGTGAGGGACTGTTTTGATTTTTTAATTGATCCAGCTGACTCTGGGTTTCACTATTCCTAGCATGAGACCCTGAGCTGTATAATTAAGCTGCCTAAGCATGAGGAAGCCATGAAGGAGACAGGAATCAAATCAGGGAGTGACCTAGCAAGCACTGTTCCTCCTTGGTTCCTGTCTCCACCTCCCTCAGTGACGGACTGGATTCTGACCTGGAAATGTCAGCTAAATAAATCCTTTCCTTCCCTAAGTTGCTTTCGGTCAGAGTGCTGTATTACTGCAATGGAATAAAGCTAAAACACCATGTAAATAAACTCTTACTGAAATCGACTTATCTAACCTAACCCACCAACAGGACCAGGAAAGCCTGTCCCAGTAGACCTCACCACACGATGGTCCCAAATACCACAAGCACGTCATTCTACTAAGTTCCAGAAAACCAGTTCCAACACCCACTTTGACTGGCATGTCACCTTGGGGGAGGACCGCTGAGCAGACTTGCTGGTTACTCCTGCTTCGCTGTTTGCTGGGACAAGAGAAAACATAGTCATTACTTCTCTGAGCTTCATCTTGAAAGGGAAAGGACTGGGAAAAATAATTCCCACGGGTCCTTTGAGATACAATGTCCTATGACGACAAGCACATGGCTGAAATTCCAACAGAAACTCTGAGGGGGTGTGTGTGAACACACTTGTGTGTCTAGCTGTGCACACGTGCATGTGGGGGAAGCAGAGAGTCGGACAACACCCTCCCACTGGCCTGGCAGGCTAAGGTGGCTGGCCAGTGATCCCCAGGGGCTCACCTGCCTCTGCCTCCCCAGTGCTAGGAGCACAACAGCACACCAATATGCCTTCATTTTATTTCTATAATTTAGTTTCTGGGGATTGAGCGCAGGTCCTCAGGTCCTCCTGGACACTATCTGTTCCCAGTCCTGGGTTACTCCTTCTTTCTCCTTTCTTCCTTCCTTCCTTTCTTTCTTTCCCTTCCTTCCTTCCTTCCTTCCTTCCTTCCTTCCTTCCTTCCTTCCCTCCCTCCCTCCCTCCTTCCTTCCTCTTTCTTTTTTCTTTCCCCCCCCCCCCCCCGAGACAGGGTTTCTCTGTATAACCCTGGCTGTCCTGGACTCTCTTTTGCAGACTTTGAACTCTCTTTTGCTGGCCTTGAACTCACAGAGATCAGCCTGCCTCTGCCTCTGCCTCTGCCTCCCTGAGTGCTGGGATCGCAGCCATGTAATCCCCTGGGCCCAGTTTCCTGGATTACTTTTATATTACACATGCACACACACAGGCACATAGCTAAAATGCTAAGACCAGATGCACTGTCTCTAGACTATGAAGGACACCTATGCTCTGAATAAAAACAACTAGTAAAATAACAAGTCTATAAATGCACAACTCATGTGTTTGTATCACCCATGGGAAGAGTTTGATAGGGTGTTGATTAGAGGAAATTACTGCTAAGTTACCAGTTGCCATCCTTTCCCAACAAAGGTATAACAGCCCCATGGAGGATTAAAACCTTTAAAACAGCATTTACCACAGGTCCCATCACATGCGACACCAATATTCTGTGCTCTTCTTTTCTCCCTGGGGTTAACTGATCTCTGAAACTGATAGATGATATAAGTCAAGTCAATGAGTCATTTTGACTTGTGTGGTTAGGCACCTAGTGTTTGTTGTTGGACACTGACACGCAAAATGGAGCTTCATGGTTTTAAATCATTACACAGAAACAGGCATTTCGTGTCGACAGGAAAAGCCACACCTGCTGACACTGACCTTTACGTGGGTGCTGGTGCGTCAGGCTCGGGTTGCGGGGCAGCACCACAAGACTGAGCCCTCCCCGTGATTACTGCTGACAAATCTTGAAGAGACAGTGTGACCTTCTGATCCTCAGGCCTGAGAAAGAGCACCGGGGCCCCTTCTCTTCACAGACACACACGCTATAGAAGCGAGCTCGGGCCCTACGAGTTCCTGTGTCCATATTCTAGCTGTCCACACTGAGCCTACAGCGGCAGGTGTCCCTATCGTCACGTGAATTCTCTCTCCCTGAAGGCCTGTCCTGGACCACACTCCAAAGCAGGAGAGCAGCTGCTACACTACCCCAGCATGCCATCCAGAGCAAAAGTCCCCAACACCGAGGCCACAGAAGCCTTGGCTGGATCGCTCCATTTCCCAAGTGACAACTAACAAGAGCTCTCCCTCTACACACCCAGGCCATCCTGAATACTCAGTGAGCACAGGATATCCTGGGAGGCATAATCTCCACAGTGTGAGCCAAACTCCAAGGGCAAGGTGTACTTTATAAGTATCTGTTTGTGCACTTTTACACCATCTGTGTCAGATGAGATCTCAGAGAGGACAGGCACTTGCCACTCAGGCCTGACGACCTGAATTCCAGCCCTGGTGGAAGGAGAGAAGCAACTCCCAGAGGCTGTCCTCTCACCTCCACCATGTGCAGTGGGGCACACACCCTAAACATGAGTGACATGACCACACAACAGCAGTAATAATAAACTAATAATAATGAAAAAATATATCAGAAAGTCATACGCTAAATGTTATTGTGTATATTTCATGGAGGACACGTTTATGTAATTTTTTCCTGTTTACCTGTCTATTCATTCAACTTTTTTTCTGAATTAAGCATAACTTTTGCTGAAAGAGAATAAGATGTATTTCACATAGGTCCCTACATAGCTGAAGATGTCCCTGACCATCTGACCTTCCTGCCACCAGCACCACAGCTGGGATTTCAGGCATGTGCCTCCATGTCCAGAGCCCTTCCAGAGGCTTCATGCATGTGACACAAAGCTAAGCTCTATTCCCGGCCCTCGTGTGTCATTTTGAAAAGAATTTGAGGCATCTGACAATGAGCAATGAGTATAAGTATAAGAAGATTTTTCTTTTTGGGAGTTGAGCAAAATTAAAGACAAGAGCAATAAAGCCGGGGAAATCAAACATTAAAGCCCAGGGCAGTTCATTAGCTCAACACTGACCCCAGTGACATTCAAAACACCATTCTCCCCACCAAGTCCCCCTCCACTGTAGCTAATTACATTTCGTTAAGGACAAATAATAAAAATGTTTGTCTGAATTCCCTAAACACACTCCTGAGCAGTCTAGAAAGAAGTTGGCAGAATGGGGACGAGCTGCAAACACAACCCAGGAAGCAGAGTGTCTGGACTGGGGTGTCTGTGTGGACGGGGCTCAGAGTCCCACAGAGAAAACTGCTCTATCTAAAATCACAGCTACGGGCTGGGAAGGTGGCTCCATGGGTAAAGAGCTGGCTGGACAAATGTAAGAACCTGAGTTCAGATCCCCTGAGTCCACATACAGCAGATACAGCCGCATGTATAATCCCAGGTGTCTAGACAGAGATGAACAATCCCTCGGAAGTTTATGGGGCAGCTAGCCTGGTGTGCAGAGGCCAACAAGAGATTTTGTTGCAGACAAGGTAAAATGTAAGGACTCACAGCTGAGGGTATCCTCTGACCTCTAACATGCGCACACCCACACTCATATTCATGTATATATATACATACACACACACACACACACACACACACATATACATACACAGTGAAATCCAGCCATGCTTAAACAACACAGGACCACCTCCCCTGCCATGTACATATATATACACATACAAACACATACATGTACATATATATATATACATATATACAAAAATGTTGCATATACAAAAATAAATGTAATCACTGCCCATAAAAATAATGGGTCTTCAATCCATAGCAAGCCCACATGTGGGAACTCGTAGGGTCCCCCAAAGCTCAGGCACGCTCCGTGGAGCAACCACCCCCGCGCAGTGGCACTCACCATAAGCTGTCATGACACCAGCATAGGGTCCATCCACTACGTTCCTGTTTTCTTCTGCCAGTGCCTTAATGTACCTTTTGCTGAGGTCAAGGATCTGCTCCCGCAGCATGGAGCTGCTCTCGGGCTGAGTTCGCTGCTGGATCGTGAAGTGCAGAAGCATCATCCCCCATATGAAGCCAAAAGTCACCAGGAAAAAGCCCAGCTTCTGAGAGGACAACTTCCAGGGAGTAAAGAAAGCCATCTCTCTCTGGCAACGTACCCCTCCCTTGGCTCTCAGCACACAGAAGGTGAAGGCAAGTTCATGGTGCAGGCCGGGGCGGAGAGTGCGCTGCTCTCACTCCGGCTCCTGAGTCAGCTGACCTCCTCGCCCGGCTTCCATTCTGCTGTGGAGGAGGAGGAGAGTTAGCAACGTGGCTGCACAACAATCAGGAGCAGTAACTGCGCTGAGGTAGCTTTCCATAAAATGCCTGCTTCTTGGCTTAATGTGCTGATTCAGTACTTTAAGCTAACATTTGGGACCTGGGAGCCGAGAAGAGAAATCTAGAAATCTGGCACAGCAACGTAAAGCTGTACAGAGACCCGGGGGAAGGGGGGCATACATGTGAGTGTGTGGACACAGGTATAGTAAGGCTGCTCCCCTCCTAGACCTAGTTCAAAACAGGAAGCTTGTTTTGCAAGGCATGGAGGAGATGGAGGGATATGTCGCCACAAGTCAGCAAAAACCCTCGGGTGTGAGGGAGCAGAGTCCTGCGATCACCTTGTGCTTTGTGGGTGTGTAACTTGAGCTTAGAAAGTCATTACGTGATTGGAGCAAAATTCACACGTACGGTTTGAGAGGCGTTCAGGAAAGTGGATGTGTCCTCAGAGTGCTAAGAAGGAAAGGGGAGATGGTCCTGTGTTGTTTAAGCATGGCTGGATTTCGCTATCATTGTTCCAGGGTGAACGATTCTACCAGGTGCCACTCCCAGCACCAGAAGAGGAAGACACCAGGGGCACGGCTGGTGCCTTTCTGTTCTAGCTTCACACTGGAGGTACCCCAGCTCAAAGCCAGAGTGCATGTTAAGTATTCGTTCTTTCACCGAGCTTCACCCCTAGCCTCTGGCACAGCTATCTGGAGCAAAAGCTGCACCTCGCAGCCTTGCCTGCCTGTGGCACAGGAAGCGCAAGGCACCAGGCTGGCAGCTTCTCTGTGGGTTCTCACTTTCACTGCCGTCACGAGGCAGAATGGAAAGTTAAAGGGCAGAGTTTCAATGTGAAGGTGTTCATCCCCTATCTGCTAAGAGCAGATAGGGCCAGTGCTCTACTGCGGGTTCTCAGCAAGGAGGGCCTGAGGAGAAGGTGCAGATGGGCTGATGGCTTTGCCCAGAGAAAGCCAATGACCAGGCCTGGGGATAGAGCTCAGTCAGTATCGTACTTCCCAGCAGGCAAAAGCCATGACTTCCATCCCCAGCAGCAGGAGAGTAGGTGGATCAGGAACCCAGGGTTATCCTTGGTTACACAGGGAGGTTCAGCCTATCCTGGATTACGTAAGAAAGAAAGAAGAAAGACAGACAGAGAGAAACAGAGAAAGAGAAAGAAAGAAAGGAAGAAAGAAAGAAGGAAGGAAGGAAGGAAGGAAAGAAAGAGGGAGGGAGAGAAAGGAAGGAAAGAATGAAGGAAGGAAGGAAGGAAGGAAGGAAGGAAGGAAGGAAGGAAGGAAGGAAGGAAGGAAAGAAGGAAGGAAGGAAGGAAGGAAGGAAGGAAGGCCTGACGGATACCTCAGTGGGTAAAGACCTTATATTCTGTGCAAGTATAAGGACCAGGCAAGTAAAGCTGGGAAGGTGTGGCAGCCACCGATAATCCCCAGCACTCGGGGGACAGAGACAGGGCATCTCCAGGCAGGCTAGTTAGCTAAGACTAAACAATGTGGCCGGCTTTGAGCTCAGCGAAAGACTGTGCCACAGTAAGCCAAGTGATGAGTGACAGCAGCTTCAGATCCTCACATGCACATGCATACGGGTATGGCCACACACACGGGGACACATATGCCCTATGTGTACATGAAACACACACAGAGCAGAGGGAGGGAGGGCGGGGAAAGGAGGGACAAAGCAGGCACAACGAAGTATCTGGTGGCTCTGGGGGATCTGCTGTCCTCTTCTGGCCTCCAAGGGCACCAGGCGTGCCCATGACACACAAACTAACACTCAGGCAAAACACCCGTTCCCACAGACAAAGCTGACGGCTACACATTCTTGTCTTACGGGAATGATGGCACTGTGGTGAGGCCTTCCAAATGGTGGCCAGTGGAATGGGATTCTCCCTCTTTCCTTTCTCCATGTGGTTTGCAAGTACTTTCACACGGGGTATCTGCTGCCCCAGGCCCTGGGGACAGAGTGTGAGCAAGATGGAGCCCCACCTTCATAAGGCTAATACTTTGAAAGCCTTCACCCTAGATAACCTACACTCGTATAAACCTCAGATGCGAGGGGACTTTCCCAGGCCATGTTAGCAGGGTGACATAGCAGAGAGGGGCCTTCTGGTAATTTTCCTTGACTATTTTAGGACAGATCTTGAATTGCTGACACGACAACCTATAAACCTGCAGATAGGAAGTCCCAGTCCACTTTCTCACAACCCTACTGAAGCAATTGATGAAGGCTATAGCAGGGTTTAAGCCACAGGAAGGGCAAGAGCAGGAACTAAAGCAAAGAGTGGGCTTTGAGAGACGCTCGAAGGCTTCTAACCACCCAGATGGGACATTCCAGGGGTAAAATGATGGCTAAGCCAGCCTGGCTGACGTGTTTCCAGCTCAGTGAGGGGTTTCTTTCCCCTGTCAGCCTGACAGGACATAGAATCACCAAGGAGATGGGCCTCTGGGGAATTAGCTCATAAACTGATCAGTGTGAGAAGTCTCATCATAATTGTGGGTGAAGCCATTCCCTAGGCTGGGATCCTGGACTGTCTGAGATGGAGGACATGAGCCTGCTTTCTTTGCTCTTTCCCTGACTGTGGACCGATATGACTGGCTGCTTTCAGCTTCTGCCACACTGAGTTGCCCACCACACTGGACTGTGAGCCAACCTTTGTTCAGGGAATTGTATCCCAGAAATAGGAAAGGAATCAAGACATTCACTCAGAAAGGTACACATTTGGAGTCCAAAGCTCTAGCTAAAGGGAGCTCAGAGGACTTGAGGGCTCTAATTATATGCAACTAAAATATTTCCAGGAATGTTCTTTTCTCTCATAGAATGCAGAATGTAAAAGGACAGATATTCTGTTAGCCCACACAGAATCACGTTAGAATTCACCACCAAAATTCCCATCATGAAGGCAGAAGTTATGACTTGAGGGGTCTCACTGAGGAGACACCTTCGTATCTCAGAGAAATAGTAGAATAATGAGAGGCTTTAGAACAACATCCTTACTTAGTCTTGGTCCCAGGAAAGGACTTGATCAGCAGTAACAGACATGCAATAGAAAGAACTCAGACCAACAGTGATCAGAAAGTAGGCATTTAAGCTAACAAAGTTTGCACCAAGTCTGTTTTTAGTAATCATCCAGGAGTGGAGAGACAGCTCAGTAAGAAAGGCACTTGCTTTGTAACCATAAAGACCTGGGTTCTATAGCCCACACACACACAAAAAGCTAGGAATGGTGGTGAGCTTCTAACCTCAGCACCAGGGAAACGGTCAGATCCCTGAGACCTACCTACCTGGCAAGCGTAGGTACCTACCTACTTGTCTAACAAGATGGTTGGTTGGCTCCACAATACCTGAAGCTGATTTCAGGTGTGCAGCCACACACACACACACACACACACACACACACACACACACACACAAAGAATATGCACCCCCACATATACACAAGAAAAGCAAAGTAGAACAAAATCACACTAACATGTACGACTTGTAGCCCCTACTTCCTAAAGCACTGGTATCTCTCCCTTTCATTCCTTCCTTCCTACACAAGCAAGACAGTAAAATCTTTGTTAAGAACACATACCAGTTCTAATTAAAAAGAAAAAAAAACACATAAATACATTCAACGTCTTTAACCATTGAGGAAGGGGAAATTAAAAAAATCACAGGAGCAATAAGACAACACTTTGCACCCACAAGGATGGTGATGCTAGAAATATGGAGGGCAGCAGATGTTGGGGTGGAAGCCACAGGCTGAAACGGGGAAGGGAAATGAAGCGCCCTGTGGAAACCAGCGCAGCTGCTCCTAAAATCCCTACCCAGGGAGCTACAGGACATTCTGCACTACGGAGTTTTAGCTAGAGAAATAAAAACGCGAGGTCCCTCACATTTAAAAACAAAACAAACCTTACACTAGGCATGGAGGAGAACACTTCTAATCCCAGCATTTGAGAGGAAGAGACAGGTGTATTTGAGGCCAGCCTGGTCTACAGAGCCAGTTCCAGGGCCTGTTAGGACTACAGAGTGAGACCTCTGTCTCAAAAAAAACAAAACAAAACAAAACAAAAAAACAAATAATCAAACAAAAACAAACAAACAAAAAAAAACAAAAGGAAGAAAAAAACCTCACACAGAAAGGTTCACAGATGCCTTTTTACAAGAGACCAAGAGTAAAAGTAAACAAAACAAAAACAAACAAAACATCACACATGACCATCAACTGATCAACTGCCATCGGAATATACAAACCACGGGATAGAATAGAAAAAGGAGAAATCAATGAAGCTACATGTGGGATGAAAGAACAGTCTGCCAAGTAAAAAGTCATTAGAAATCATGTATCACATGCTCCCATTTACATAACACTTCCAAGGGAGGCAAAGTAGAGGCGAGAGCACTGTAGAAGCTGTTTAGGACCCAGTGAGTGGAGTACGGGGCACAGGGACAGGGGGATGAGGAGGGGGGGAGTGATACCTTAGTCATTCAGGGTTCCTTAGGAGGATCTAACGGAGGCTGCAAAGAGCCCAACGTGCTGTAATAAAACCTGTCTCCCACAGGCTCGAGTGTCAGGACACTAGTCCTCCCTGGCGGAGCTGTCTGACTCCTGTAAGAAGGAGGAGCCTTGCTGGAGGAAGGGGGTCACACCCACAGTCTGGATTTGTGTTCTCTGCTCTCAAATTTCTGATGGCATAAACAAAGTGACCAGCCTATTCACTTCGCATTCCTGCCTGCCACCATTCCTCCCCTGCTCTGATGGACTGTGTCCCTTCTTAACTGTGAGCCAACCTCTTTCCTCTGATGCTGCTTCTTGCCAGGTACTTGGCTGTAAGAAGTAACTGTTACAGATGAATAACTGTGAATATACTGATACATATTGATACCATGCATTATACACGTCATGAGAACAGTAGCCTGTGTGAACCAGCTTTCAATAGGCCAATGAAAAAGAAAGCCCCCCTCAAAAGCTGAAGGTGGGGATT